TTCCTTTCTCCCCACAGCCTGGCCATTTGTTATTGTTTGATATCTTGATAGCAGCCATTCTTTGTGGGGTGAGGTGGAATCTCAGTGCTGTTTTCATCTGTATCTCTCAAGTGACCAGAGATATGGAGCATTTTTTCATATATATACTTGCTGCTTTTATTTTTTTGTCTAAGAAATGTCTGTTCATTTCGGATGCCCATTTTTGAATTGGGTCTTTATATTTGGGGAGGCTGAATTTTTTTGAGCTCTTTATATATTCTAGATAATAGTCCTTTGTCTGAGCAGCAGCTGGTAAAAATTTTTTCCCACATTGTAGGGTGTCTCTTGGTTCTGCTGATGGTTGCTTTTGCAGTACAGAAGCTTTTTAATAAGATGAGATCCCAGTTGTTGATTTTTTCTGCTAGTTCCAGTGCTACTGAGGATTTGTTCATAAAGTCTTTTCCTATGCCAATGTCTTCCAGAGTTCTGCCTAACTTATCTTCCAGCAAGTTTAGTGTTTCTATTTTAATATTTAGATATTTCATCCACTTGGATTTTACTTTACTGCATGGTGAAAGATAAGGGTCTAGTTTTAATCTTTGGCAGGTTGAGATCCAGTTTTTCCAACACCATTTAGTAAAGAGGCTATCCTTAATCCACTGAGGATGGTCAGCTCCTTTGTCAAAGATGAGGTGGCTGAGTACATCTGGATTTGTTTGTGTGTCTTCCAATCTGTCCCACTGATCCTCAGGTCTGTTTTTTTTTGCCAGTACCATGCTGTTTTTATCACAGTGGCTTTGTAATATAGTTTCAAATTGGGAACTGTTATACCTGCTGCCATGTGTCTGTTGCCTAGGATGGCTTCTGGTATTCTAGGTATCTTAAGGTTTCAAATGAATTTTTGGATTCTTTTTTCTAGTTCTGTGAAATATAGTGCTTGAATTTCAATTGGCACTGCATTAATCTGTATAGCAGTTTTGGTAGTATGGCCATTTTCACTATGTTGATTCTTCCTACCCAGGAACAGGGGATATCTTGCCATTTTTTATATCCTCTTCAATCTCTTTTTTCAGAGTGCTGTAGTTATCAGTGTAGAGATCTTTTGCTTCTTTTGTTGGATTGATTCCTAGATACTTCATTTTTTTGGGATGCTACTATAAAAGGAATTTTTCCCTCATTTCTCTCTCAGTGAGTCTGTTATTTGTGTATAAGAAGGCTATTGATTTTTGGGTGTTCACCTTGTATCCAGATACTCTACTGAATCTGTCAATTAAGTCTAGAAGTCTTTTGGTGGAGTTTTTTGGTCTTCAATGTAGAGTATCATATCATCAGCAAATAATGACAGTTTAACTTCCTCCTTTCCTATCTTTATTGCGTTAATTTCTTTCTCTTGTCTAATTGCTGTGGCTAATGTTTCCAGAACTATATCAAAGAGGAGTAGATATAGGAGCAGCCTTGTCTTGTTCCTGATTTTAATATCAAGGTTTTCAGTTTTGGGCCTTTTAATATGATGTTGGCTGTTGATTTTTCATAGATAGCCTTTATTAAGTTGAGATATAGACCATCTATTCCAATTTTTTGCAGGTTCTTTATCATGGATTGGTGTTGAATTTTGTCAAATGCTTTTTCTACATCTGTTAAGAGGATCATATGGTTTTTGTCCTTGAGTTTGCTAATATAGTGTATTACATTTATTGACTTATGTATTTTGACCCACCCTTGCATCCCTAGAATAAATCCGACTTGGTCAGGATGGATGATCTTCTTCATAATCCTCTGTATTCTGTTTGGTAGTATCTTATTAAGGATTTTTGCATCTATATTTATTAGGGAGATTGGCCTGCAGTTCAATTTTTTAGCTGTGTCTTTCCCTGGTTTGAGAATCAAACTGATACTTGCTTTTAGGAATGAATTTGGAAGTATAGCTTCCCTTTCAATTTCTTTGAAATGTTTGAAGAGTAATGGCACTTGTTCTTCTCTAAATGTCTTGTAAAATTCAGCAGTGAATTCATCAGAGCCTGGGCTTTTCTTTGTTGGTAAATTTTTAATTACATTTTCAATTTCACCGACTGTAATTGGGGTGTTTAAAATGTTTTTATCTTCTTTGTTCAGCTTTGGTAATTCATAAACATCTAAAAATCTGTCCATTTCTTCTGTGTTTTCCATTTTATTGGAGTACGGGTTCTTAAAGTAGGTATCAATGATCCTCTGGATTTCTATTGGATCTGTTGTGACTTTGCCTTTTTAATTCCTGATCGAATGGATCTGATACTTTTCTTTCCTTTTTTTGATAAGATTAGCTAAAGGTTTGTTGATTTTATTTATTTTTTCAAAAAACAACACTTTGTTTCATTTATTTTTTGTATCATTTTCTTAGTTTCCACTGCATTGATTTCTGCTCTAACCTTTATAATTCCCTCTCATGTTCAAGCTTTGGGATTTTCTTGCTCTTGTTTTGCAAGGAATCTAAGATTCATCATTAGGTTGTTTATTTGAGCTCACTTGGTTTTCCTACTGTGGGCATTCAGTGCTATGAACTTTCCCCATAGAACTGCTTTCGTTGTGTCCCATAGATTCATGTGTGTTGTATTGGCATTTTCATTTATTTGTAAAAACTGTCTAATTTATTTTTTAATTTCCCCTGTAATCCATTGATTGTTCAGGAGAGTGTTGCTCAGTTTCCATGTGCCTGTGAAGTCCTATAGTTTCTTGTGCTATTAATCTCCATCTTGATTGCACTATGATCTGATAATATAAAGGGGAAAACTTCAATTCTTTTGCATTTATTCAGACCTCTTCTGTGAGCCAATATGTGGTCTAACTTGGAGAATGATCCATGTGCAGCCTAAAAGAATGTACATTCTGATTTTCTGTGGTAGAATACTCTATAGTCATCTTCTAAGTCCATGTGTTCCAAAGCTTAGGTTCTAGTATTTCATTTTTTATTTTCTGCCTAGATGATCTGTCAGTTTGTGATAGTGGGGTATTTAAATCCCCCACTACAATTGTATTAGTGCTTATTTGGTTTTTCATGTTACTTAATATTTGTTTTATATAGTTGGGGGCACTTATATTTGGTACATATATGTTTATGATTGTCAACTCTTCCTCTTGAATTGTTCCCTTTACAATGATGTAGTGGCCTTCTTTGTCTCTCAATGAGTTTTGGTTTGAAATTTACTTTGTCTGTTAATAAGATTGCTACCCCTGCTTTTTTCTGGGCTCCTGATGCATGGAGAATTGTTTTCCATCCTTTCACTTTCAGTCTATGGGCTTCCTTTTGCACTAGGTGTGTTTCTTGTATACAACATATTGTTGGATTTTACTTCTTAATCCATTCTGCCAGTCTATTTCTCTTGATTGGTGAATTGAGGCCATTAACATAGATGGTTATAACTGATATGTTCTGATTTATTATTGTCATGTTATTTTCCTTTTGTTGACTCTTTTTACTTTTTTCCCCCTCTCCTTTTAGTTTCTTGCCTTGCTTATTTGATTTGGTTTGTTGGGCTTCATGGTACTGTGGCCTTCATTGTTCCTTTTTAGGATATTGTTTAGAATTCCTTTTAGTGCTGGTTTGGTGTTCATGAAGTTTCTCAGGTGTTCTTTGTTGTGGAAGTATCTTATTTCCCCATGCATTTTGAAAGAGAATTTTGCAGGATGCATCAGTCTAGATTGGAGGTTGTTTCTTTTAGGACTTGAAATACCTCACTCCAGTCTCTCCTTGACCTGAGGGTTTTTGTTGAAAAGTCTGCTGTGATTGTAATGGACTTTAATTTGCATGTGATTTGTTTCACAAAATTATACCTTGTTTCTCTCTTTCTATCACATATGGCACTTCTTACGTGTCTAGGCAAATTTTAATTCATGTATAAAATGTCTTATTTTATGTATACCTTAATAAAAAGTAATGCATACCTTTTATACTTGTGACTAGCATGATCTGTTCTGACAAAGTCAAACATGATTTCAATAAAGAAAAGACAGTTCCCTCAGGAGCCAGACCCAAATAAAATTATCCTTATACATACTGTTTCTCATAGTTGATACACATTACTTAGTTTATTCATTTTAAGTAGGAACCAGCTGAGAAAATTTTCTATGCAAACAGAGGGAGCATCTAAACAAAATCAAATTTTAATGCTTACAACTATCTGGTAGATCTTGTTAAAATGAGGATTTTGTTTCATTCTGGATGGGGCTCAGGAAGGTTCCTTTCTAACACAATGATACCTATAGACACTTGCCATCCACAGAGCCCTAGCATCAGAGCTGAGATTATCCAAGATCCTTAATTATAAAAGCTATCAAAATAGAAAATACATCTGACCTGCAAAGAGGCAAAAAGGAGTCAGATGTGTTCCCTGAAAACAGCAGGAGTGAAATCATTTTGAGGCCTTGGAGTTTAAGTCAGGGAACTTGTTCTTTGTCCCATCTAAAAATCAAAACAAAACAAAACTATAGATTTTTGAGGCACCTCCATATTGATTTCCAGAGTGGTTGCACCAGTCTGCACTCCCACCAACAATGCAAAGGGTTCCTTTCCCCACAACCCCACCAGCATTTGTTATTGCTTGATTTCTGGATAGCAGCCATTCTTTCTGGGGTGAGGTGGAATCTCGGTGTTGTTTTCAACAGCACCTCTCAAATGACCAGTGATGTTGAACATTTTTTCACATGTTTATTTACTGCTTTTACTTCTTTGTCTGAGAAATGTCTGTTCATTTTAGATGACCATTTTTTAATCAGGTCTTTATATTTGAGGGTTCTGATTTTTTTGAGTTCTTTATATATTCTAGATAGCAGACCTTTGTCTGAGAAATAGCTGGTAAATGTTTTTAACTTCATATTGTAGGTAATTATTCTAGTATGCTAAATAATATTTGGTAAATATTCCATGTACAATTTTCAAGTACATATGCAAATGTGCAGTCTTAGTTAATTATAATTGCAAAAACTTTACAGTCAGATTAAACTTGCACTATTTCTGATTTTAAATAAAAAAGAACACAATATGAGATTTAAATGTGTCTCTTTAAGAACTTTGTGAGTGAATGTATGACTTGCTTATTTCTCAGACTGTAGATAATTGGGTTTAACACAGGAATGATGACAGTATAAAACAGAGAGACCATCATATCTTGATCATCTACTTGTGGAGATGCAGGGTGCACATACATAAAGAGTAGAGGACCATAGTACAGAGATACAGATAAAAGATGGGCTCCACAGGTGGAGAAGGCTTTCCTTATCCCTTTCGATGACTTCTTTTTCAAAACTGTAAAGAGAACAAATGTGTAAGAGACAAGAACAATCAAAATAGTGAATACCTGGATTGAACCAGAGAAAATAAAAACAATTAAATAATTAAGAGAAGGATCTGTACAAGAAATCTTAAACAATGATATAATGTCACAATAAAAGTGATGTATTATATTGGAATGACAGAAAGTTAATCTGAATAAGAAGCCTTCATGAATTAAAGCATGAAGAAGACCACATACAAAGGACAAGACTAACAGACGTATGCATACTTTATTGCTCATTACCATTGGATAGAGTAAAGGATTGCATATGGCTGCATATCGATCATAAGCCATTGCTGCCAAGAGAAAACATTCTGTAGTTGCACTGATATTAAAAGAAAAGAATTGTACCATACATTCAGACAGAGAGATGATTTTATTCTTTGCAAAGAAGTTGACCAACATCTTTGGAATCACAATAGATGATATAGATGTATCAACAAAGGCTAAACTCCCAAGGAAAAAGTACATAGGGATATGAAGATGAGGATCTCTCCAGATGAGACCAATCAGACCAGTATTTCCAAAAACAGTGATGAGGTATATCATTAAGAATACCAGGAACAGGGGGATTTTCCACTGTGGTACATGTATAAGTCCTGTGAGAACAAATTCTCTCAGCAAGGTTGCATTTTCCTTTTCCATGTTGTCACTGGATATCCTCTGAAATAAAATGTGGTGCATGCAGAAAAGCATTAACTAAGCATTTATAAAATGAAATTGGGGGTGTAGAGGTGAAATAAAATAAAACACTTATAGAATGCTCTTTCAATTTTATTTAATATTAACATAGTAGATGAAAGTTATTTTGTAGAATGAAGTATATTCAATTATTTATATTCAGTATGGATATGGATTAACATATTTAAAGAAAACAAGAGGTTGCACCAGTCTGCACTCCCACCAACAGTGGAGAAGAGTTCCTTTCTCCCCAAAACCCCGCCAACATTTGTTACTGAGTGATTTCTTGATAGTAGCCATTGTTTGTGGGGTGAGGTGGAATCTCACTGTTATTTTCATCTGCATCTCTCAAATGACCAGTAAAGAATGAGAAATTAGATTCATTCATAGGAAAATGTATACATATTGAGGATATACTCCTAAATGAAATAAATAAGTCACACATGTGTAAATACTGAATAGTTTCTCTGCTGTGAAAAACTATAGTAGTACATAAAATCCTAATAAGATAAATGGCCATGTGAAATAGGAAGAAAAGGGCTAAAGGTGTAGGGAAAGTCTGAAGGGTAGGGGAAAGGTAATAAGGGAAAAGAAAAAATATGACAAAATGAAAAAGGGAAATAAAATGTTTGCAAATGGGGAGGAGAGGAGGGGGTGAAGGGAGGGCAGGGACAAGGGGAAAAAATGAGAACCAAGACCTGTCATGTAAAGGTACAAGACACCAGTGATGAATGTAATTGTACTGTATGCCTAAAATGTACCAATAAACTTAATAAAAAAAGAAAACAAGAAATATTATAAGTATATACTAAATTTGTGGAGAGAGTGTTACCATGTTAGGATAATCCTAACATGGGTATGGTTACAGAACCAATGGAAAAGATATTTAAAGACCTGGATAATAAAATGAATTGAACATTTTTATAACAAAGATATTTTTCAAATAAAGTACAGTGAAAAGTGTTTCTTTATCACTAAAAACTTTAATTAGGGAATGTTATTAGAACACATTTTAAAATTAATTTTGAATGAATTTTGTGGTTGTGAGAAAATAGGCTGCATAGGGGAGAAACTAAGTCATCATTGCTAGACAGAAATCTGGTATTGGTATCTAGACATTCCCAAACCAGATTATATTATATGTCAGAACTGTCTGGAAATATTTGTGCAAAGTATATTACTATAAAATTTGATTCAGCATTTTTAAAATGAGTCCTAATAATCTACATTTTAAAAACTCTCTTCAGGTGCCTTAGATGCATCTGCAGTGATTAGATCACTTGTGATATGACAGTAGGAGTGATGAGGAGAACAAAAAAATAAAAAGGAATTCAAATATAGAATCATTTGTATGCACTGATATATGGCATGGAAAGGGATGGTTAGTGAAAGAGAAAAAATTTGCTGGTTGTGTAAATGGTTATTAAAAATTGAAATTGAAAATTTAAATGCATTACCAAAGTTGTGAAAAGTACATCTTCTGGGTATGGAGATGATACATACTAGTAGGATGCCCGTATTAAAGCTTAACAATAATAAAAATGTGGGGGTCATTAGGGTATTAAAGGTAGAGTTATGTATAACCCACACAAAGCAAAGAAAATTAGAGCAAGGACAATGCTATCAGTACTTATATACTTATATTAAAGAGATTAAAAGGAGATGAATTTCATTTATGATATTGTCAAGACTTGATCCTGTTTCTACAACCGAGACTAAATGTCAAGCAGATGCTATGACCCAATGTAGAGTCCAGAGAACTAGAAGTTTTCTATTCCATCATCCTTGCACATACAGTGAAGTGACTTTACTTAGATTTATCCAATTTATTTCACCAACCATAGACTGGTTTGGACTATGAAGAGAAGGAAACAAAGGTCCAGATGCAAAAGGTAATTTTAGTAGCAAAGGCAACCAAGGCAGCAATATCAAGACTCCAGCAAAAGCATCTTACATCTACAACAATGGCACCAACAATGTGAGCCATAGTATCTGAAGCTCAAAAGTAGTTACAATTCTTCCTGAGCTGAGTGTTTGAACGTGACTTTAGGTATTCTGACTGCTTTACTTCTTTCTATTCTTGCCCATTTTTCTAACCTATTACTTGAATCTCTCTAGAATTTCCATGTTAAGACAATTTCCATTCAATAAATATTCTATTGCAGCCAAGAGCCTAGTCTGCCTCCAAGAAGAATCAAAAGAGTAACAAGAAAGTGATACTGAGCAGAGTAAAACTAGAAAGTTGAATGTTGTGATCCTAAAGAAGGAAAAGGTATTGAGAGTGACAAAGCAGAGTACAGTGGCAAGTGCCAAAAGAAATGCTCTAGTAAGAAAAAGGAGTGAATAGAGATTACTGGGTGCTGAAATTAAGAAACTTTATTGGCTTTTGTGAAACCCATTTCCCCTACGTGATAGAAGTGAGAAAATAGTAGGAAATGAATGGAAAACAAAAGGAACCACAGTGAAAGGAATGATACAGATTTTTAAAAAAAATGTGAAGTACCACTGGCATTTGTTTATTGATCATAGATTACTTAATTTTTTTCCTGTAGAAAATTTTAATAAAAGTTGTTAAGCAAGTAGGTAAGTGTAAAAAGAGAAGAGGAAAGTGTCAAAAAGAGAAAAAGGACACGAAAAGTAGAAAGAGAAATTTAAATGGATGAAAAAAGAGAGGAAGTGAAAAGAAAAATAGGCAAAGTGTAACAAAGTCATAGATGGATAAATGTAGAAAAAACAGGTCAAAGAATAAAAAGGAAAAACCAGAGAAAGACTGGAAACAAAACTTGAGATCAAATGTTTATTTACTAAAGATCAGTAAACCAGGAAGTGTTTTCATTTTCCTTTCAATTAAATCTATTTTCAATTAAATTCCTATTTTCATATGTATTTTTAAAAACAGACTACACTATGGTTTTAAATTTCACTTTGTAATATTGTACTGTTGATATATTGTCACTGCTTGAAAATTAGGTACAAAATTTAAATGTTTCTTTGGTCATAAAATTAACTAGAATTTAATTTCTCTAGAAATCTTGTTGGTGTTATTTGTGAAAACTTCTTCACCAATTGCTTTTGTTTTCATTTTGTCTTAGCAGAAGAAAATTGAGCCAAAGACTGAATGAAGTATATTGATGACATAGCACCTATCTTTCCAATTGTTAAGTGAATGTTTCCATGGAATACATTCCTTGAATGCAATGAAAAAAAATCACAAAATGTTTTTGCATATTTTCTGTGTGTACATATCATATGTACATGCATATTTAAAAAGAATGGAAGTATAATTAAGTTAATACTTAAATTAATGACCTTAGCCATTTTAATCAGAGATTGCAATTCATTTAAAATAGTCTTTCTTGTTGGAATTGTCATAAAAATTGCCTATAGAAGAGTCATTATGACTGGTTATTGAATCTCAATTTAAATAAGTATTTTAGTCAGAGTGCAAAATCATTATTTTAGGGTAGAGATAATAAAACATCATAAAAAGGGATAATTCAGGTTAAACTATTTTGTTTATTCATATTTTTCCAGTAAAATATACAGGTAATTCAAATTTTATTTTCATTTTACACAGTTATGTTGAAAACCTGTAAGAAAAATTTTAAATTATTTTTAAAAGCATTTTAAACTTACAATATAAATATTCATGGACATTACAGAAACCATTTATTTCTTACCTAAGTTGTGAAAGCAACTGCAGAGATCACTGAAAAGTGTAGGGTTTTGTAAATCATAAAAAGTAGTACAGGAATGAGAAAAACATATGTAATAATTCTTTTGATAATGATTTATTTTGGGTTTTCATTCTCATCCACACACAAAAAAATGGTGTTTATATAAGTCTGCTGTCAACACAAGATTCAATCAATTGTATAACTGTTTGTTTTCCCAGAAGACAGTAGGAATTGAAATTCCTATGAGGAAGTCCTAGGATTCCCTATAGGACAAAGTTAAACTGTTTTAGTTGGTGCTGTGGATTTGAACATGTATGAGAAATCCAAGTTTCATATCGAGTACTACAGATTATAAAATCATAAATATCCATTTGCTGAAGAACTCTAGTTTTACAATTTAAGATATACTTTACAACACTATTTTGCCCCACAGATAACACTTCCAACAAGTTTGGGCAAACTTTAAAACACACATAAAATTTCTTCCTCTGAGAGCTTTGATTAGTATATTTTTTTCAGAGATAATAAAAACATGATTTTAAAAAGGCTAATGATCTACATTTCCTTCTGGTGAAATGCAAATTAAAATTCCCTTCTCATGGAAGCTGAGGACATATTCCCATCCTTTAGACTTTAAACTGAAATCTGATTAGAAATCCTACTAGTCAAAGGAGAAGGAAAAACATAATCAGAAGGCCTCTGTGAAAGGCCTCAGTCTGCACTTCCCAAACTTCAGTGGTTCTTAATGCCATGGCGTTCTTATTAAAAGGCAAATTCTTTCTCAGTAGTAACTGATGAGGCTCAGAGATCTTCCTTTTTAGCAAGGTGATGCCTATGAGCAAAGAGTTATCATTCATTACTGGAGGGCTGAGGTGAGCAGCAATATTACAGAATCAGAAATATACTAATGTGGCTATTACTACACAGAGAAAAGCAGGAAGGAGCCAGCTGCAGCCAGAGAAGTTAGCATAAGTGTGATTGTTTGGGGTCTCAAAAGAATTTGTTGTCACAACTTTAAATAAATTGTTGGAAGATTTTGAATATGGTGGTAATATGTTCATATTTTCCTATCAAAAATTAATGGAGACTATTCTTTTAATAAGCACTCAACAAAAAGCATGAAACTTAATTATGACAGTTAGATTTTATACCTTAACAGTGTATGTACTCCCACATTTTCTTTTTAAAAAAATGTTAATTTTGGTGACAAGATAGTGGAAAATCATGGACTTGTTTTGGCAGACTCATCATTGATCTCCTATACTGCTTGAAGTTTTGGAGGTAGAAATCAAAACAAAATGATGGAGA